CACTTTTGCTCTAAAGCGGCAAAAAGTTCGTCCTTTGAATAATTTTTATCTCGTATTTGCTAATCTAAGTATTCCCATAGATTTTCAATGGGGTTTATATCGGGAGACTGGATGCCATTTGAGAACTGCTATTTTTTCATCCAGAAAAAATTTCTTTGCGAGATTTGAAGTGTGATTCGGGTCATTATCATGCTTTGGTATGTCTGTGTATACAAACTTATCCATAATGCACCCCCAAACCATAACAGACCCGCCTCCATATTTGACAGTGGGTACTTGGGGTTCTATCTTTGTCCATTAGGACGTCTAATGTAATGAACACCATCAGATCCAAACATATTGAACTTGGATTCGTCACTGAAACATACCCTCTTCCAGTCACAGATGCTCCAATCAAGATGCAACCGTGCAAATTGTAATCGAGATCCTTTTCCCTCGCGATTAGCGGCTTCCTACTCGGGCGAAGTGCAAATAACTTCAAATCGTCTAATCTTCTACAAACACAAACTAATCCTCTTCTGACACGAAACGGTACTAAACTAATTTTGAAAAGAATTTGACTACATATTTTTGTCCCTCATAAAAAAGTGCTTATATTCAGACTTTTTTTTTGTCGATCGGTTTGGCATTGGAAGTTATCCATTTGCCACAGATGATATTCAGACCTGTATTGTGTTTATTGCACATAATGTAAAAACAAGGAAATACAGCCACCATTGTGCGAAAACGTTATCCAGAATTTTAAGAAAAGACTGACCCTGTGCCAGAGGTTTCGTGGTGGCCATTTACAGGATGTCCTATTTCATGTTTAATCGCAACTATTCCCCTTTATGTTGAAATATAAATACTCGCTTAATTCGAAAAGAAATTGGGTTTTTCTTGAAAATCAAATCTGGCGCCCTTATTGAGACACCCTTTATAAAAAATCATGGCCATTTATTTTCGCGCTATTATTGGCAAAGAGGTCTTGAAGCTCAGCACGCAGCGACAGGCGACTAGAAGTGAGTTTGTTTTGACGTGGTGTAAATGATGTTTAGGATTTAGTTTTTTCCAATGATACATAATAAGTTTAAAATAGCTATCAGCTCCACACTTAGATCGATAATTCATTTAATTTAAAAAATGATAAAATATTTACTTTTTTGGAACAAATCTATTCTTCTGTAGTTCAGTTTTTAATTCAGCATGATGATACCATATTTTTTCAGAGCATTGGGTTATGAAAACCCATGATTATACGTTGACACCTGACATATCTTTTGCTATTGCCGAACTGTCCTTTTCTGAAGTTGACATTTCCTAAATGGTGTTTTTTTTTTCTATTCACAGGAAGAAGGTGGTACGTCGCGTACGTCGTCTGAACCCGTTGAACAACACCAGGGCAATGTTGAAGTTGAACCCATATGCTGCTGTGCTGAAGAGACAAGCCATCTTGGCGGGTCAGAAAAGGCAGTTGCAGAGGGATGAAGCTTTGGCCAAGAAAAGAGGGGTGAGTACATGGAATGTAGATTTTTGCTGAAATTTGATATCAGACCAGTATTATCCGCCTGAAGTATCCTGTTTAGTTAGAAACTTGTAAGGCATATGTCACGTCACAAGATGTCATTGTTAGAGTACTTTCACGTGAAGTTAAATTAGGAGGTACATTTTCATAGGCTGGTGAATTTCAGGGATGCACAGAGTACTGAGTACTCGGTTAGATTGGAATACCAAGTACTTAGCAGGGTACTCAGTCGAGTTAGGTCTGGGTTATTTCATCTTCTGTTATATTTTCGTTTTCGGTCTCTTTGTTCTCAGAATTGACTTTTCTAAAAAATTAACGCACCGCGAAAAAAAACTGTTATACACCGTAGAGAATTTTTTATGTATGAAGTGACGTTAGGGTATTAACTATTTTTCCGAAATTTATTTTTTTACGTCTTTAATGTTGCGACAGTTAAGTATATGCTCGTCACCAAGGAATTCCTACAATTTTAAGTTAAAATTGGCCCTCATTGTGCATAAGTTGACCAAGCACCATTTGATAAACTTTCAGGTCATATTATGCGCAGTAGTTCAATTATAGAAAAATGCAGCCAACATAGACACCTGGCATTTAAAAACAAAAATATTTTAAGCAGATTTTGTATAGTGTTAGCAAATGCACTTCCTAGTCTAATCATATTAGACGAAAATACCTCTGGTTTGCGAAATAATTGTAAGTCTGGTTTTCTTGTTGCAAGTTGTTCAAGGGGGTATTCAAAACATGGACGTATAAAATGGGTACACCGATTATTGTAAGAAAACTTTTTATCTGACAACAAAGAATGAGAGAACGTGTTTTTTTGGGATTCAATCGAAAGTGTTAGCGGGAGCGGAAAAACACTTCATATAAGATTTTTAGATATTTATGGGACCTATAACCATATTGCAGGTTAAACATTTTGCTCTTTTATTTTCGAGCCAGCTTTGGCATCAGTCTCCTTAAAATATTTCCGCACGGGATCCTTTCTCCTCCCTGTCTTTTTCTTTCTTTTTTTGCCGATCTTTAATGCACAACAAACAAGACACACCACCACGCTTCGACTTCGCACATTTGACTGCTGGACATCGCAACGCGAAAGATTACCCAAAGTCAAACGGTACTTCCCCGACGTACGCTTATAAATTAGAGATGTGCTCTGATAGAGCTGGATCAAAAATAAGAATAACACCTTCAAGAAACTTCATTAACATTGCTAGATTATATAGGCAATAGTTTTTTAATTTTTTTATATTGTATGTATTAACAGTGTTTTAAACATGTTTTTTTTTCAGCTAAATTTGAATGTTTTAAACAAAAAAAAAAACAGTTTTAATCAAAGAAAAACATGTTTTTTGTTTTTTTTAAAACATGTTTTTTTTCAACCCTGCAAACTTAACAATTATTTGGGAAATTTGCTAATACGATCAGACTACACTACACGTTAGTTCGCGACAAGAGATTTAACAAAAAATACTATTTTCAACCGTAGTATTTTCCTTACTACTTCTTTTTGTAATCATCGTTGGGTTAGAAATGGGTGACTAATCGTTCCCTATTATTTTGCAGATCACACTTCCGTCGGTCCATCCAGTAGTGAGGTCGGCCAAGCTGCAGGCGCGTAGGCGAGCTCAGATCCTGAAGAACAAGCCTAAGAAAGAAAAGAAGGCAAAGGCGCCTGGAGCAAAGGCTCCGGCAGCCAAGGCGCCAGCCAAGAAGTAAATGTTGCAGTTCAAAATATTCAATTTTATGTTTTGACTGGAACATGTTTATTTGTATTTAAATAAAAAATGTTTGGAAGAAATATGCATTTTATTCAAAGACCTTGTTTATAATTCTCCAGAATTTTGCAGGAATATCTAAGTTTTCTCATAAGAGGAACCGAATTCAACAGATTCCAACAACAAATTCAACATAAAATTCAGCTTTATTATAGATTTTGGTTTGTGTAGGAACAAAGGTTAGAACTGGTATCACAAATTTTTATAGAATCTTAAGTTTATTAATATAAAAAACGAAGATTTAAAGATGCCGATGTTCCTAAATATTGTTCAAACGTACATAGCAAAATCCCGAAGCATTTCAGGACATGTTATTGTAAAGGTTTTTTCCAGAAAAAAGTTCTGACCTTTTTTGTTCAGAACGTCCTAGAAAACTCCGAGACCCTAGCGAAGAAAAAACAATTTTTGGAATTTGAATAAGTTTGTTCAAATTTGGGCCTGGCAATATGCAGATTTGTCATGAGTGCAAAAAATCCGAATTGGAAAATTTTCCCAATCACATGCGAATAAATTGCCCGGACTAATTTATCTTGAATGATGAGAAATTTGTAGAAAAAATATCGAAAATTGCTCTAAAGGCCTGTCCGGCCAATTTGGAAGTCCGAGAGCCAAATTCAACTCGGGGCGATAGGTTGATTTTATTTAAAAAGAAAAATTTGTGAATTTTTTGCTCATAAAGGCATTCGAATTATCTGTCCAACAAAATAATGAGAAATTAAAAAAAAAATACTTTGACAAATATCTGCCGAATGATAAACTAAATCACCCTTTTTGTTCTGAATGTCCTAGAAAATTCGAAAACACCGGGACCAGAGCGAAAAAAAAACAATTTTTGGAATTTGATTAAAAAAGTGTCTCAAATTTGGGCCTGGAGCGAGGGGTTGATTTTTTTTTATTGGGAAAAGGTATTGTGGATTTTTCGGTATTCGAATTGTCTGTCCAAGAAAACAATGGGAAATAAAAAAAAATATTCTACTGAAATATGTTGCCGAACGAATTATCAGATCGAAATTTGAAGACCATTTTTGAATTCCTCGGGCAAATTGACTCTGGCATAATCACATTGCGGGTCCTAATGTTTTCCAATAACAGGAATAGCGAGAAAATGGAAATGTCAGACAGGCTAAAATACACATTTTTTCCCAATCTTGAAACCGAATGTGTCTCCAAACCGAACTGTTCGAGCTAGGAGCTCAAGATTTTACAAAGTTTCATGCCTCCATAGGTTCTCTTCAGGAAACAAATTTGAACCCAATATACGCAAACATCGAAAATTGGCTCCAATTTAAAGGCCCTGGTAGGAAGTTCCATTCATACGAGGGATGTCTTCTAACAACACGGTAGGTAGTTTTAAATGACTTTATTGTTTTTCGAAGTATTCTCCACGAACATTAATACGAGGGCGGTTCAGATACGATGGAGACAAATGCTGTAGGTGGCGCGCATGTATGTCTTGAAGGTCGTGGCTTGAGTATATGATAGCTGCGTCCCTTACGAACAGTGCGGCACAGCTTTCGTTATGAGCGCATGTTTCACGCGCGTGCTAACGACCATGAGTGAAGGTCAAGTGCCGACCGCCGTTGCGCAACGTATTGCCATTCGTTTTTTAGTGTGCGACGGCGTTAAAAACACGGAAATTATTCTGCGTTTGCGAAATCAGTTCTGCATTGAGTGCCTGAGTAGGGCAGCTGTCTTTAAATGGGCCATACCATTCAAGGATGGGCGCGAATACGTCGAGAATGAGCCGCATGATCGTCGACCGCGAACCAGCATCACACCGGACTGCATTCGCCGTGCTGTACGTCGACTTCCTGAGCGCCCAACATTTCATCAACGCTGCATACCACTCTAACCTTCTAAAGACAAATGAAACCCGCTTATCACTCAATATCGAAATTGGGATGGGAGGTACTGAAACACCTCCCCTACAGTCAGGATCACCCGGCGACTACTACATGTTTGGATCACTGACATAAGCCCTCGGAGGTCAAAGATTCAACACCAACGACGAGGTAGAAGAGTTCGTGCGCACATGACTGTCCGAGTTGGCCAAGGAATTCTTCAATACCGTAACCAAAAAGCTTCCGGAAAGGTCCCTAGAAAAATTTTTGTAAATTCTTTCGATAGTGAATAAACGTGTCAGACCATCTGTCTCGGTCATATTTGAACCACCCTCGTACGCATCTGCGTGCGCTCGAACCAATTTTCGAAGCACTTATTCCACTCGTTTGCTGGCAGATCCAAAACGGTATTTTTGAATGCGTCAACTGCTTCTTCTGGTGACTGGAACCTTTGACCAAGCAGTACGTTTTTAATTTTCGGGAAAGTAAAGAAATCGTTAGGACTTAGATAGGGATTATATGGAGGATGATCCAATAATTCCACGTTTTCTTCCGTTAAATACTGCCTTGTTTTTTGGGCTGTGTGCGAGCTTGCATTGTCTTGGTGGAGGATGATTCTTCTTTCGTGGTTGATTTTTCGAAGCTCGGTGATGACTTTTGGCAAACAAATGGTGGTATACCAATCCGCAGTAACAGTTCTTTGCTCATTAAGAGGAATTGTTGCAATATGATCCGCTTTTGACACAAATCTCGCGACCATCTTTTTCGAAACACTTCGAGAACGGATGACTTTTGTTGGCTTTTCTTCACCTACCACTAACTGTACACTTTTTTGAGTTTCCGGAATTGAAACAGCCAAGCGTTTTTTGACACCAATTAACCCTGGCTGCTTTCTGCTCTTCAGTCAACAGATGGGGTATCCAACGAGAAACTAATTTTCTTAGTTCTAATTCTTCATGTAAAATTTTTTGAATTGAGGTCTTTGAGATCTTCAAGGACGCCTCAATCTCGCGATATGTCACATGTCTATCTTCAATGATGAGTTTGCGCACAGCATCGACGTTTGCCTGGGTGACTGGCGTTTTTGGTGCACCCACCCTGGGATCGTCACTAAGGCCCGTATCGTCAGTCGTCCCTACAATTGTAGGGCTCCTTTATGGCCTCCTTGATTGTCATAGTTTTCTACTTCTCCGTGTCAGAACTCTATTTTGAGGTTATGTCACAAACATCCATTTGCATCAAATTGTGCTTGCTTTTGAGTTATATCATGTTTTATCAGCCTGAAATTTCCTACAATTTAAAAAGGAAACATATCTTCACAATAAATGACGCTGACACGGGACAAGTGTAATCTAGAAATTTTTGAAGGAGAGAAAGGAGTATGACAATCAAGGAGGCCATAAACGCGCTCTACAATTGTAGGGGCGACTGACGATACGGGCCTAAGACTCACCCGTCCACGCTTGAATTCTCCATACCAACGGGAAATTGTCGACTGATGTGGCGCTTCGTTGCCGAAAACAGACAGTAACTCAGCAAGGCATTCTTGTCTCTGAAAGTTGTAATAAATTATGGCGCGAAAATGTTCTCGGTCGAGTTCCATCTTTCTAATGACTTGGTGACACTTAAAAATTCACTGTAGTGAGAACACTGCACGAATTGTTGTGAAACTTTGAATTTAAGTTTACTAAAGAGTGAGGTTAAGATTCAGTACTGACGTTCGATCCGCGCGGCCTACTATGTTTCTATATGCAAAACTTAAAAAAAAAACTTAGGCGGTTAGGCTGGTTGATCTCCTTTTCAAAGAAAAAGAAGAAATTTTGTGCTTTTTTCGTTTCGGAAGACATTCGAATTAAACCAGTGGATCATTTTGAAAAAATTACTTGAGTGAAATATCTGCTGCACAAATCATCATATCGCAATATTATGATCATTTTTAACATCCTGGTACAATTTTACTTCTACTATTATGGGATTTAATGCTTTCCAACCTTCAAACTTTGGTGTGCAAGATAAATTCCGATTTGTTGATTAATCAAAGTGATGTCAGAGTTGATTTGATGCCCAAATAATTATTCGTAAATAAACCCTAAATTGTGGTAAAATTTATTTTATAAAAGGTTATTTTTTGACGAATCTTCAAATGTTGGTATGCAAAATAAATTCCGATTTGTTGATTAATCGAAATATTGCCAGTGTTGATTATATGTCCACCTAATAATTCCAAAATAAACCCAAAAATGTAGTAAAATATATTTTATAAAAAGATATTTCTCAATTCAGTTATAAGATCTTCGTCCACTCTGAATCCGTCAACTATTTTTTTCAAGGATTTTACATGTCCTCGTGTATGTTTCTTGTTTCCGTCAATCAATTCCTGAATTTGAAGGCCAATTTTAAAATCAATTCTAGTCATTCGCAGATCAAACTTTTTCAAAGTCTTATTGTGCTGTACTGCTTCCACAATTCGTTTCCCTCCCTCCTAAAACAAACATTTTTGTGAATTAGAATTCCTGAAATGAATGATAGTACGTAAAATGCACACCGAATTCAATGAATAATCAAGGATTAAAATCCACTCATAATACTGGACAACAAATTTTAGTTTTTTAATTGTATCTTGTGGGAAAAGTGCACTTCTTTGTTAATTTTGGGGCGCTGAATCCAAAAATGACAATGAAATAAAAAAATTAGTTGCGGTTTAGAAAAAAAACTTTTTATTTTTAAGGATATATTAAAAAAAGTAACAAGATTCATATACTTATAAGAATCACTATATGCGCTGTCTTTTTGCTGTTCTTTTATGGATCGTTTCTGGGGCATCTCTACCAAGAGTCCAACAGTAGTCTGCAAGCATGGAAGGATTCCACTTTCCCTGGTACCTTTTTTCCATTGTTTGAAATATCCTGATGAAAACGTTCGCCGTGCTCATCACTTACGGCTCCGCAATTGTCAGGAAAAAAGTCCAGGTGTGAGTGTAGGAAATGTATCTTAAGAGACATATTACAGCCCATCTTTTGATACGACGACAGCACATTTTTGACAAGAGTTTTATAGTTGTCAGCTTTTCTATTTCCCAAGAAATTAGTGACCACCAGACGGTAATCATTCCAAGCAGTTTTTTCAATACCTGTTAAAGTGTTTTCAAACTGTGTATCTTACAAAATATTTCGAATCTGTGGCCCAACAAAAATACCTTCTTTAACCTTTGCCTCATTTAGTCTTGGAAATTTCTGACGCAGGTATTGAAAAGCTGACCCATCTCTATCTAATGCCTTGACAAAGTTTTTCATTAGGCCCAACTTGATATGCAGTGGTGGTAATACAATTTTTTTCGAATCTACTAATGGCATATGCTGTACATTTTTTTGACCTGGCTCTAGGAATTGACGAACAGGCCAGTTTTGTCTGGTGTAATGAAGTGCCTTTGCCCGACTGTCCCATTCACACAAAAAACAGCAAAACTTTGTGTAGCCTAGCTGCAGCCCAATTAAAAGTACAACAACTTTCAAATCGCCACAAATATGCCATTGGTGCTCATCGTATTTTACGCATGTCAATAGGTACTTCATATTGTCATACGATTCTTTCATGTGAACTGCATACCCTACAGGAAGAGATGGTAAAATATTTCCAATATGCAATAACACTGCCTTTAAACTCAATGTTGAACTGTCTATAAACAATCTCCATTCTTCTGGGTTATAGTTTATGTTTAAAGCCGCCAGTAAGCCGTTAATGTTACTGCAGAAAACCAAGTTATTCTCCATATTGAAAAATGGTTCTAAGTCTTTGTGGCGTTTACGAAAAACACATACCGAAACATCGTCTTCTAACAAGTTCCACTGCTGCAGTCTTGATCCAAGTAACTCTGCCTTACATTTTGGAAGTTCTAAATCTCTTACAAGATCATTTAATTCTGACTGTGTTATTTTGTGCGGTTGGTGGCATGACGTGCTCGGCATAAAGTCAGGATCTCTTGACGTTGATGGCATATCTTCTTCCTGACGAATCACTCGATCGCCATGATCTGATACGTTTTCTGATTCGCAAGTGTAGGATTCTGGGGGTTTTGGGGACTGTTTGGGTAGTTAATAACCGATTTTTTTTTCTTGGACATACCTGTGGCTTGTCCAACACAAGGTACCATGCAAAAGTAACAATCATTAATATGATTTGTAGGCTCTCTCCAAACCATTGGGACAGCAAAGCGCATAGACCGTTTTTTGCCATTTAACCAGCTCCTCAGACTTGAAGCACATGTATTACAGCAGATGTGGGCTGCCCACTGTTTGTCTTGATCACCTAGTTTACAACCGAAATAAAGCTGATATGCCTTGGTTATTAGTGGAGTAATAGACCGTCTCTGAGACGCAAAAGTCACATCACCACACACGTAACAAAACTGATCTGGATTGTTTACACACTTTCGAGACATCTTGCATGAACGCTGTCAGCCAACTGAGGAAAAAATGGCTAATATAAAACAATATAATGTACACGTATGTATAACGTAACACAATCATGCCGATTACATAATCTTTCCTTGCCGAATATAAAAATGTAACACGTGCATTCTTGTGAATTACAGTATATTAACACTGTCACAGCAGGATCACATATAATTACCGTATCTCTAAAACTTGAACTAATATTGAAAAAATAAGTTTCATTCCGGTTTTAGCACATTAAAAATAGTAATATTTTGTTGATTTTATTTAGGATATTTTTTGGCTGTTGATCAGTGTAATTTGTTGTTAAATGGATGGTGACAAACTACTCTACAGTGATGGCGCTAGACCATATACGGACGTCGGTGATATCGGCTTGTGACGGCTCTTTCAGTTTCCCAAAAAAAAAAACGTTACTTTGAATTAGTCATGTGTCATTCGCAAATGATTCGTTCAAAATGAACGACTCATCTAAGTGAGCGGTGATTGAACGACTCTTTTGTTACATATGTTTCGTTCAATTGTGCGAAGCGTGCCATTTGAACGATAGAATTACCGACCGACCTCGAAGCTGACAAGAGTGTTGTGTTGCCTATAGTAACGACTCACTGAGTCAGAGAATATACATCATACTATGAAAATGAAATGAATGGGTAGGGTTGCCGATGTTATTGTATTCATTTAAGTATTAATATTTTTGGTTGTATATTGTCTTCCGAAAAAAGAAGCGATGGGTGGCCCGGTTTTGAGGAATTACCGAATTCTGTATCAAAATGCAAGTTTTGCACTCAAATCCCATCATTTCAACGTATAATCTAATGAGACATCTCAAAACAAACCAACCGGGTTCCCTAGATAGTGTCTGTACTGTTACCACGTTGTCAGTTCGCAGTTCAGTTGCTGCATACGAGGGATGTCTTTTAAGTTTTTCATATGGAAATAAAACAACACGGTTGGTAGTTTTAAATGAATTTATTGTTTTTCAAAGTATTCTCCACGAAGATTAGTACAAATCTGCATGCGCTCGAACCAACTTTCGAAGCTGGCAGATCCAAAACGGCGTTTTTGAGTGCGTCAACTGCTTCTTCTGGTGACTGGAACCTTTGACCACGCAGTCTGTTTTTAATTTGCGGGAAATTAAAGAAATCGTAAGGCATTCTTGTTGCGATAATTGTCTCTGAAAGTTGTAATAAATTATGGCGCGAAAATGTTCTCGGTTGAGTTCCATTTTTCTAATGACTTGGTGACACTTAAAAATTCACTGTAGTGAGAACACTGCACGTATTGTTGTGAAACGTTGAATTTAAGTTTCCTAAAGAGTGAGGTTAAGATTCAGTACTGACGTTCGATCTGCGTGGCCTACTATGTGTATATATGCAAAACTTAAAAGACATCCCTCGTACATCGTATGCTAGGTGTTTGCAAATACGGATGTTTACCCTCCTTAGCGGATGCATTGTTGTTATAATTAACAATTATTGTACGTATTTTCCTAACGTAATAACCTCGTGTATCGCGTACAAAATCCCACTTGCATAGGCTAAATGGAAAACAAAAAGCAAATAAACTAATGACATCTGTAACCTCAAGTGCGAATCGGATGATTTCACGGTTTATGATTATGCATCACTTATGATTAATGTACAATATACGAATGTATAAACATAACACTGAATAAAAATAATCGATGCGTATCGTCCGAATTGTCTCCATAGTATACTTATGAAAAAAAATGAGTCAAGTAGATTAACTTACCTCGTGACGCATTAAAAATTTGGACCGCAAACAAAGCTAAAATGATCATAGAGTTGAAGAACGCCAAAGTTTCGGATATATTTTAAATATTGTTTTAGGCCCGTATCGTCAGTCGTCCCTACAATTGTAGGGCGCGTTTATGGCCTCCTTGATTGTCATAGTTTTCTACTTCTCCGTGTCAGCGCTCTATTTTGAGGTTATGTCACAAACATCTATTTGCATCAAATTGTGATTGCTTTTGAGTTTTATCATGTTTTATCAGCCTGAAATTTCCTACAATTTGAAAGGAAAACATCTTAACAATAGGAGAGCGCTGACGCTGACACGGGACGAGTGTAATCTAGAAATTTTTGAAGGAGAGAAAAGAGTATGATAATCAAGGAGGCCATAAACGCGCCCTACAATTGTAGGGACGACTGACGATACGGGCCTTAGACTTCCCCGTACATTTATCCTCAAAACTATATTTGCAGCAGTCGCGTGCCGATATGTGCGCTGGGTCGACAGTCGCTTCCGTGCTGCTGAGGGCAGTGAAGGCCCATATCGTTAACCACGATTAGTCATAGCAACGATCATGTAGGCCTGCAGGAATTTTTCTCAGGATAGAGGATCATCCATTGACAGGGGATAACTCAGGGTTAAAGTGTACCTGCCTCCAAATCTTTTTGAAGAGCCAGGGTGATGCAATGAGGGGAAAATCCTAAAAAGCCCCAAAATTGTACACAAAATATGCAAATTCTAATTGTATGTGTATGTGTGGACAAGTATCGGTTTTCTAAATATTACTAAAAATGACGATGACCCCAAAACCGTGCACAATCGAATAAAGACGTATATGGTTTTTCTGATTGGAAATGCCCCCCTAACAGCCCTTTCATTTGGTCCACGAATTTTGGGACAGCCGGTATATGCAAACCGTAATTCGTATGAGTTGTACGATATTGCTGAAGTTTTCGGCACCACAACAACCCATATATATAGTTCACAGCCTTCCAACAAAAACTTTACCCTGGGAATGGGAGAAGCGCCGCATCGGTTCACATAAACATAGACGTTAAACATTTGTTCGAAGAGATGTAATAAAATGAAATATTCAACTGTAATGGAGATTCAAAACATCAACTAAATTGAAGCCGAAAGATATTGGCTTGCTTTTACCTTAACGTTAACGACTGTCCAACTCTCCCACCTGTCGAATTGGTAGGTGTTTGATATCAAATAATATGGAGAAAATCATTTGTTGATATGATTGTACAGAGGTATTATATTTGTGCCTTTTAAATGCGACACTACTGAATGAATGACCACCTATTCGACCTCGAGGTCCAAGAGGATCGTTCGGAAAGTGGAGGTACTCCGTTCTGTGTTTGGGCTTCGAGGGAACAGACCTCGTAAGTTTTATGTTCTTTAACGCTTAACTTGTCTATTTCCTTCTGGTCACGATTCCACTAATTATTCGTACAGTTGATATTTAGATTCTTGGTAACGTAAATATGACTTCATTAAAGATGAATTTAGTATCTTTTAATATTTCATTAATACTATCTCAATCTCTTGATTCTATACAACTCTTATCTAATTTATATCTCTAATTCTTCTACATTCGATGAGCTAATTCTTTGAATTGAAGTTTGAATTTTTGATTAACCATAACAAAATCAGTTCAATTTCATCCTTGATAGTTACTCATTGGGCTGATAGAGAAACTCAACTAAAAAACCCAGTCTTTTCTTTTATAAAGTAATCCTTTTATGTTAAAAGTTAATAAAAGGATAATTCTCGGTCCCATATATACTAAGTGACATATAAATCCGAACACCCAGTTTAAATGGTTTTATTTTAATAAAATTTTGTATAAGTACTTGATGAAGCATAATAAGTAAATGATAAAAATTTCAAAATGATTGCACTGCTTTAAAGCCCTTTGACCTTTAATAATGTGTGGGTGCACCCTGATGTGCTACGCATTCTCCAACGCGCCTAGGCATGCTTCTGATCAGGTGGTCAATGTCCTCCTGTGGTATCTCATTCCAGGCAACCACCAACTCCTCTCGAAGTGCTTCTAGAGTCTGAGGAGGATGTTGCAAATTGAGCAATCTCCTACCCATCATATCCCACACGTGCTCAATTGGGGATAAGTCGGGAGATCTTGGTGGCCATGGTAACAATGTGACACATTATGTTGAAAGAAGTCTATTGTGACTCTTGCAACATGTGGTCGGGCATTATCTTGTTGGAAAGTTGGATCTGCCAGGGTGTTAAGATAGGGTAAAAGATGGGGTTCTAGAACTTCGTGGATATAACGCTGTGCGTTCATGTTACCTCTGATGAAGATTAAAGGTGACCTGGAACCAGAAGCTATAGCACCCCAAACCATAACTCCAACAGTGTGATGAACATGTCTTTCAACAAAAAACTGTGGATTCCTCCTTTCACCACGTCGCCTTCTGACCCTAGCACGACCATCGTGCATGCCTAAACAAAATCGAGACTCGTCACTAAAGACAATACTGTTCCATTCCTGATCCCAGAGTGACCGTTGTCTGCACCACTCAAGGCGATTACGTCGGTGTTTTCGAGTTAAAGGGAGGACCCAGTGTGGCCGGTATGAAAACAAGCCAAAACTTCTCATTCGTCGGTAAACACTTCGCATGCCAATAGGTCTTCTGTGTTCTACAAACCATTCATTTGCAGTGGACCTGGTAGTGGAGAAACGGTCCCTTAAGGCCAATAATCTTAGGCGGCGATCTTCACGGTCTGTTGTTCTACGGCGGCGTCCAGTGCCCCTTGCTCTTTGCGTACGGCCTTCTCGAAGCCATGCCTGACAACACCTAACCACAGTGTCTACACTTCTTTGCACTTTAACTGCAATTGCCCGAAAAGAAAGTCCAGCTTCCCGAAGTCCCACTATACGGCCCCTATCAAACTCACTAAGTGGACGAAATCGTACAGGTCTCCGTACTCTAGGCATCGTAACCGATCGTGAAGGATGTCAAGAACCAAAATCCGCCAACGTTGACTCTTTACTGCGGCTGAAATATTCATTTTTAGAGCGTTAGTGAATTAAAACCGGAATGTCCAACTGATAAGGCTGAAAATTTTTTCACTTGTTATTTACAGTAAGATAAATACATTCACCAACTTTTATTAAAATAAAACCATTTAAACTGGGTGTTCGGATTTATATGTCACTTAGTATATATTGAGATCACCTAGAATTACAAAGACATCCGCATGGTAATAATATAGATAAGATATTTTCTATACTGTCAAATGTTTGCGGAATATTGGAAGAAGGAGGTCGATACAATGCACCGAAGGTATATGTTTTGCCATCGAACCTGAAACTGATCCATTGCTCTTCCAAATGGGGATCAATATTTGTACGGAGCAACTTGAATTTTATGTGTTCTTTTAGAAAGAAGCCGACACCTCCCCCTCTACCGATCCTGTCCGCATGTATAAAATTGTAATTGATAATACGGATAGCCGAAGATCCGATATCATCATTCAACCAACTTTCGGTGACTGCAAATATATCGAAATTTTCAGAAATCACAAAATCCTGGAGTAGACAAAATCCTGACAAAAGCGATCTAACATTAAGATGACCAACTTTCATGTCTTACATGTAAATTAATGTCTATTTGATAGGAAAGGAATGGTATAAAATATAAAAATAGTCAGTACACACTACTCAATTATTCTAAGGAGTACGTATACAGGGTGTCCCGAAAAAAACGGGCAATATTCTAACAGCGGTTTCTAGAGCTTAAGATAGGAAGAAAACATCAACATAAATCGATATGTAGAAAATTATTGAATTCTAATAAACATACGTAGATGTTTACCTTTTTTCGTCACTCTGTATAGTAAGTGTCTTCACATCTTTTTAAAATCGCTATAGCCCGATAAATTAATATTGCTCTTATTAACGGTTTCCGTTACCCAGCTTCAAACCAAACCGCACCAATTCCGAACTATCCTGGTGATAATACTGGCTGACATCGTAATTAGCGAACTTCATCGCAACCAACTTAGCTAATTAATCAATGTATTAGACTAGTTGGCTACATTTCAGCTGACATTTTGGTTGACGAGGAGAAAGTCTATCGATCTTATGTTTTACTTACTTCACTCATATTGTTGTTGCATACATCCAATTCTTCAAGAGTTGCGTTAACAGCCACCATTTTGCTCAATAAGTCAGTCTTGGTGATGCCACAGCCCGCCACAGAAAGGCATTTCAGTTGTTTCCCGTGAGTTGTTAAGCTTTGGAAAAGAATATCAGCTCCTTCGTCTAAAACACTATTCAGTTTTATATCCAGTTTGGATATTTTGCAAGTAGGCTGTGTGAAGGCGTATGCTAGACCTGATGCACCTTTGAGGCCTGAAATCGTTAGAAAATTGTAACTTTGAAGTTAGATAATTATGTAAGTTTTTAGAATTTCCGGTAGAATCTTTTACGACCTCGTATCATCAATATGCGAAATAGTACTATACTATGCGTATTCCATTTATGCCTGACTAGATGGATAAGTTCTGCTTTGACCAAATATTAATTGAAACTAATGTCGTTTGATAGGAGCCAGTGTTGAATGTCTGCCTTTCGGGTGGAAATTGTGGGAATTTTTTCTAGTTTTCTGGTGTAGTATGCAGTGTTCGGGAAGGAGACATCACTGAATAGAGAGCATTAGGAGAAATATTCTCAGTTTCATCTGCTGTATTCCTAGACGACATACTAACGTATAAACATACGCTATGTATGCAGCGAATATGAACAGCAACTGCCGGCGTCGGCGTGCCGGCGATACCCCGAGACTGAGTTCTATCCTGTCGAATCTGCACTTGTTCGTAGGCGGCTGCCGATTTGCCTCGCTGCATCTTTGTTATGCCAAGGCGTAACTAGACTACGAATAGGGTATAGTATTAGTAAGTAATAAAAAACAAGGTATAAATTGATTCACCATAATAAAGCTTTAATTTAAATTTGCTTTTATATATATACGAGCCACTTCCCACTTCAGTTGGCCCAACTATTGGCATCTTAGTTTTTTTCTTATGAAACACAAATAATAAAAATGTATAGGTTTAAAATATTAACACATGTTGCAATTACAGCATATCAACCTACTTTCATTTCAATGCAAAATGTCTATAACGCATAGGTGGCTGTGAAAAATAAAAGCCATGACAATTGTTTTGATTAATCACAGCTGCCAGAATACGTTTAAAATAGTTTTGGGCAGTTAAGGTTTTCAAAATGGGTAGAGGAAAGGTTATTAGTGAGAAAATTCGGTTACTGATAATTAAATTTTTTAATTCTGGGAAATCAAACTCAGAAATTGCAATTTTGTTAGACTTATCGCGGTACAGTGTGAGAAATATTGTTAGAAGATATAACGTAACTCGCTCAGTTAATATTAAGCCACGATATGTGAAAAAAGGAATATCACAAATGCCGACCGAAGAGCATGAAGAAGAATAATCGTGAAAAACAGGCGTGCCAATTATTTACAATTAAATGCTCTGTGGAGTGACGCTGTTGGAAGGAGAATTTCGAGGTCCACAACTCATAGAGAGGCCCACAAACTGGGATTTAGCACTTGCAAGGTAAGTTTTCTTATAAAAAAAGTGAAGTAAAAACCCTAAAGTAAAGTGAAATTTACAGCATCCATTATGGTCTGGGGCAGTATGTCATCAAAAGGAGTAGGAAAACTTCATTTTATTGATGGAATTGTGGATACAAACAAATATTTGGCAATTTTAGAAGAATCGCTTTTACCAAGGAATTTTGGGACACCACCAAAAAGCTCAACATGACATGCAAGAAAACTCACTCAACTATCCCGAACACTTACAAAATGTAAATGACATACACAACTACTTCCAACAGACCGACAATTTACCAGACACTGTTTCCCAAGAATTAATCAATTTTTACAAAAACAATGTAAACATTAACGATTCTCTTAGCTTCCAACTGTTAGACAGGGCCAGTCTAATCAAAATTGTAACTAATATCTCATCAAATGCCATTGGAGAGGATGGTTTCTCTATGACAGGCCTAAAGTTATGTATCCCATTTTGTATATAATCAACACATGTATTTTGGGGGGATTATTTCCAGAAATATGGAAGAAAGCTATTGTTAAACCCTTACCAAAAATAGCGGAACCTAAAGAATTTACAGACTTGAGGCCTATTAGCATATTACCCGCTACATCCAAAATTTTAGAAAGGCATATTTATAATCAAATTGGATTTTTTTGTGTCAATCCGGTTTTAGGAAAAACTTTAGCACAAGTACATCATTAGTTAATATCTTGGATGATATCAGGCATCATCAAGAACAAAAAAATAGTACGTGCATGGTTTAGTGAAGTGTACGACACTCTGAATCATGAAATGTTAGAACTAGCCAAGTTAGATTACCAGGGGTTTTCGCAGAGCTCCGTAAATCTAATAAAAATATATACTAAGTGACATATAAATCCGAACACCCAGTTTAAATGGTTTTATTTTAATAAAAGTTGGTGAATGTATTTATCTCACTGTAAATAACAAGTGAAAAAATGTTCAGCCTTATCAGTTGGACATTCCGGTTTTTATACTGCTTTTTTTTAATTCACTAACGCTCTAAAAATGAATATTTCAGCCGCAGTAAAGAATCAACGTTGGCGGATTTTGGTTCTTGACATCCTTTACGATCGGTTACGATGCCTAGAGTACGGAGACCTGTACGATTTCGTCAACTTAGTGAGTTTGATAGGGGCCATATAGTGCGACTTCGGGAAGCTGGACTTTCTTTTCGGGCAATTGCAGTTAGAGTGCAAAGAAGTGTAGACACTGTGGTTAGGTGTTGTCAGGCATGGCTTCGAGAAGGCCGTACGCAAAGAGCAAGGGGCACTGGACGCCGCCGTAGAACAACAGACCGTGAAGATCGCCGCCTAAGATTATTGGCATTAAGGGACCGTTTCTCCACTACCAGGTCCATTGAAAATTAATGGTTTACAGAACACGGAAGACCTATTGGCATGCAAAGTGTTTACCGACGAATGAGAAGTTTTGGCTTGTTTTCATACCGGCCACACTGGGTCCTCCCTTTAACTCGAGAACACCGACGTAATCGCCTTGAGTGGTGCAGACAACGGTCACTCTGAGATCAGGAATTGTCTTTGGTGACGAGTCTCGATTTTGTTTAGGCATGCACGATGGTCGTGCCAGGGTTAAAAGGCGACTTGGTGAAAGGAGGAATCCACAGTTTTTTGTTGAAAGACATGTTCATCACACTGTTGGAGTTATGGTTTGGGGTGCTATAGCTTATGGTTCCAGGTCACCTTTAATCTTCATCAGAGGTAACATGAACGCGCAGCGTTATATCCACGAAGTTCTAGAACCCCATCTTTTACCCTATCTTGACACCCTGGCAGATCCAACTTTCCAACAAGATAATGCCCGACCACATGTTGCAAGAGTCACAATAGACTTCTTTCAACATAATGATGTCACATTGTTACCATGGCCACCAAGATCTCCCGACTTATCCCCAATTGAGCACGTGTGGGATATGATGGGTAGGAGATTGCTCAATTTGCAACGTCCTCCTCAGACTCTAGAAGCACTTCAAGAGGAGTTGGCGGTTGCCTGGAATGAGATACCACAGGAGGACATTGACCACCTGATTAGAAGCATGCCTAGGCGCGTTGGAAAATGCGTAGCACATCAGGGTGCATCCACACATTATTAAAGGTCAAAGGACTTTAAACTTATTATGCTTCATTAAGTACTTATACAAAATTTTATTAAAATAAATCCATTTAAACTGATTTATATGTCACTTAGTTTACTTAAGCAACCATAAAAGCTGTGTTATGTTAGCAAATGATTCCGCTATTTACAAATCCATTTTAAACCTATAAAAAGAGGAGTTCCTCAAGGTTCAATTTTATCTCCTTTGCTATTTTCAATCTACACATCTGCATGAGATTTGCGTTTGGAATTCCATATCGAAACCATATCACCATAACTACAACATATTAAACATGACGAAACGCAGAAAATATCACATGTATTCTTCTATCTATAGGGTTATAAAAACAGGTCAACCGCCCTATTCAAGAGAAAGATTTGTGCCTTTGTCTCGTGCCCAGAGGAGCAGAAATAATCTCAATTTTATCGTACCTAGGCATAGAACGCGTTCCTTCCGTCGATCGTTTGCTTATGTGGCGGTTCACTTATGGAATAATTTACGAACTTCAGTTAAAAGCTCATCGTCAAAAACATTCTCAAAACTGACAAAAACGTTATTACAGAATCACCAGCTATTTACTTTTGCAGCGGTTGTGTGAGCAAAAATATCGTTTTTACATTCCTACTCGCTGACAAGTTGTATAGATCTGTTCTTCGCGTCTGTTGCCAGCTCCCGGGGGTTCTTTGTTCGTTTTTGCGTTTTTGTGTTTCACCGCCTTTTTATTTGCCTCATTATTGTTTTTTTATTTTGTTTAAGGATTTTTAGGGTGTTCAGGGCTTTCTCGCATGGACTGTCCTTTTCGTCATTGCTCTATATTGTTTATGATGTTTATTCATGACGAAATAAATATTTTGAATTTGAATTTGAATTTGATGTGTAGGAGGAACAGTGTCGGAGCCAAGACCGATCCCTGGAAAACACCCGCGTTGACGTTGTGTGACGAAGAGGAGAACCCGTCAATCACGACGGATATCGAAGCCAGAGAAAAAGTCAGCCACTCATCTGCAAAGCTTCTCTGCGAGATTGGATGAGCTTACTCCCCAATTACGTGACGTAAGTCAGATGGTAGCCTGTGGATCGGTGGTGCCGAAAACCATACTGCCTGATGCTCGAGGTACTCCAGAAGCATCCGATTTATGCACCTTTCTATCACCTTAGTTATAACACAAAGCTTTAGGCCTGTAGTTGTAAAAAAGCTAAACTGGATGGACTGTATACCCTTACCAAATCTGTTATTAACTAGGATCACTTCTTCAACTGGTACTTCCAATGCAAACTTGACAATCGCCAAAGTCCCTCTATTTCCAATTTTGCAGTGAGATAAATGTAGGATTCGAAGCGGATGCTTTAATAACGATGTCAAAATTAGGATCGCTTTTTCACAGTTGATATCAGAGTTAGTTATCCTGAAACGATCGTTTTAGTCGTTAATATCTAAAAATAGTTGAATCATATGAACACGCGTAACGAATAAATGAATACAAATTTGGTTATTGCAGCCATAATATTTACCCATTTATAAGAAAAAGGATATTCGTATCACATTTATAATTCGAAATGCAAGTCGGTATGTCGATAACTCACATGAGCTATGCAGTTTTGAATAATGGATATAATACTAAGTGACACATAAATCCGAACACCCAGTTTAAATAGTTTTATTTTAATAAAAGTTGGTGAATGTATTTATCTTACTGTAAATAACAAGTGAAAAAAATTTCAGCCTTATCAGTTGGACATTCCGGTTTTTATACTGTTTTTTTTTTAATTCACTAACGCTCTAAAAATGGATATTTCAGCCGCAGTAAAGAATCAACGTTGGCGGATTTTGGTTCTTGACATCCTTTACGATCGGTTACGATGCCTAGAGTACGGAGACCTGTACGATTTCGTCAACTTAGTGAGTTTGATAGGGGCCGTATAGTGGGACTTCGGGAAGCTGGACTTTCTTTTCGGGCAATTGCAGTTAGAGTGCAAAGAAGTACAGACACTGTGGTTAGGTGTTGTCAGGCATGGCTTCGAGAAGGCCGTACGCAAAGAGCAAGGGGCACTGGACGCCGCCGTAGAACAGCAGATCGTGAAGAGCGCCGCCTAAGATTAGTGGCCTTAAGGGACCGTTTCTCCACTACCAGCTCAATTGCAAATGAATGGTTTGCAGAATACAGAAGACCTATTGGCATGCGAAGTGTTTACCGACGAATGAGAAGTTTTGGCTTGTTTTCATACCGGCCACACTGGGTCCTCCCTTTAACTCGAGAACACCGACATAATCGCCTTGAGTGGTGCAGACAACGGTCACTCTGGGATCAGGAATGGAACAGCATTGTCTTTAGTGACGAGTCTCGATTTTGCTTAGGCATGCACGATGGTCGTGCCAGGGTTAGAAGGCGACGTGGTGAAAGGAGGAATCCACAGTTTTTTGTTGAAAGACATGTTCATCACACTGTTGGAGTTATGGTTTCAGGTCACCTTTAATCTTCATCAGAGGTAACATGAACGCGCAGCGTTATATCCACGAAGTTCTAGAGCCCCATCTTTTACCCTATCTTGACACCCTGGCAGATCCAAATTTCCAACAAGATAATGCCCGACCACATGTTGCAAGAGTCACAATAGACTTCTTTCAACATAATGATGTCACATTGTTACCATGGCCACCAAGATCTCCCGACTTGTCCCCAATTGAGCACGTGTGTGATATGATGGGTAAGAGATTGCTCAATTTGCAACGTCCTCCTCAGACTCTAGCAGCACTTCGAGAGGAGTTGGTGGTTGCCTGGAATGAGATACCACAGGAGGACATTGACCACCTGATCAGAAGCATGCCTAGGCACGTTGGAGAATGCGTAGCACATCAGGGTGCATCCACACATTATTAAAGGTCAAAGGGCTTTAAACCAGTGCAATTATTTTGAAATTTTTATCATTTACTTATTATGCTTCATTAAGTACTTATACAAAATTTTATTAAAATAAAACCATTTAAACTGGGTGTTCGGATTTATATGTCACTTAGTATAATAGACTGTGGGAGACTAACTAGATTGGTCATACATATTGTTGGCATATTTTCATCTAAAAGTTTAATTCAAATATTCCAGATCACAGTTGAAAAGTGCATGCATATACAGGGTGGCCCATCCATGTGTGGACGGAATATTACTCATAAACAAATACATTTTGGGAAAATATATTTATGGGATGTTATACATGACATTTGTGGGCACATTTCTAAAATATTGGCCATTATACAGGGTGTTCCAATTTCGACCTACATATCAAAGTTGTGATTTTTCGAATAGAATGCCTTAAATTTTATTGCACATTTGGATAAACCAATTCAAAAGAAGACAATTGATATAACATACTATGGGGTTTTGGTAATTAGCTACTGAGATATAAGGTATTTTGTCTAGAAAAACCCCCCACTTCGGCAACCCTTCAGACCGCTATTTTGAAATTTGAAGTGCTGAATTTTGTATCAAAAGAAAATTACACACATCAGCTTTTATTTTGTTTGTTACTTTTTAGAATATCGATCTTTTCTGTTATTAGCACGGCTTCATTCCCTAAAATATCGCATCATCCTTGGAAACAAATAAATTGTTGATTACAACAAACTGTCAAAATTAGCTTTGTGAGCATTATTATTAAAAACGTGTTTAAAAAAATTATTCAACATGGTGGAGTTATTTTCGAGTAATTTTTGTAGATTAGGTCTTGAATAGTGATAGTTGTTTGTTTATGTTGTTGTGATAGTTGTTTTTCTCTATTACGCTTAAAGCAGAATACTGTTCTGATTGTTATTAGTTTTTACGTCAAATCTGTACTCTTAGTGGCAATATGGAACTAGCCCACTGTTTGTCCTTTGTTTCCATGGATGATGTGATTTTTTCCCTTAATTTTGGTGTGTTGTTCTATTAAAAGCTTACTTACACAAAATCTAGTGATTTTATCTGAATCAAACCTTATACCAAAAAAAGCTTATAAAAAATTAAATCCAAACTTGCACAAATATACAGGGTGATGCATTTCAAAATTTTTGAGAAAAAGTACAATTCGCGTTTTTAACGACCCTGTATGAGAAAAAATTAAAATTCGAAAAGGTAACAAATAAGATAAAAGCTGACGTATGTAAGTTTTTTTTTGATACAAAATTCAGCACACCAAATTTCAAAATGATTGAGGGGTTGCTGAAGTGGACGGTTTTTCTGGACAAAACTCCTTACATCTCAGTAGCTAATTACTAAAACCCCATAGTATGTTATATCAATATTCTTCTTCTGAATTGGTTTATCCAAATATGCAATAAAATTTGAGGCATTCCATTTAAAAAATCACAACTTTGATATGTAGGTCAAAATCGGGCCACCCCTGTATTGCCAATATTTTAGAAACGTGCCCTCAAATGTCTTGTATAACATACCATAAATAGTTTTTTCCAAAATGTATTTGTTTATGAGTAATATTCCGTCCACACATGGATGGGCCACCCTGTAGATGTAGGTGGAAGTATTTGAGGCTTATGAGCGATACATTTAAGGTATAACTGAGTTTGTAAATGTGCAGTCGAATATGTGGCTTTCGCAGTTTTGTAAATGGTCAGGTCGTTTGAAAAACTTTATGGTCGTACGTTGATATAGATTTCCAAAAATTGGCTACAGATGAGTCCGTTATATCAGGGATTCCTGTCATAGCTTATGATGAAGAAAACTTGTGACTGAAAATGTGGCGAGGAAATGAAAGAAACGGAACTAAATCACAAGAATATTTAACAGTAAGGAGTAAGTACTAATTCTTATAAGAGACTCAGAGCAAACTTATCCTACCAAGTAATAGAGAGGTATATTTTATAAGTATAAATATTATTTAGGTATAAATATTCTAAACATTTATTATATTAAAGCCTGTAAAATTATCATATTTGCTAAAATTGTACGAATTTTGCGAAATACGGTATATTACCTTAGTATTTGCAGTCTCAATTTCTCTAGCCCCTTGGCAAGGAGACCTATATCTTGACTTGAAGTATTCAGAGCTCCCCATGAAAATCTGTCACCTAAGTATGTCTGAAAGATACAAAGGGTAGAAACGATTACGGATTAGTACAATATTGTATTATCGTATTCTCCAAGAAACAGAGATGCTGGCCGCTCACTTTTTTCACTATTTCTCATTTTTTTCGATCCATCTCACTTTTACCCACCTTTCATTGCAAACACTTTTCTCACTATTTTCGCTATCGGTGTACATATTGTAGTTTATGATCGTATACTCGTACTAAGTGACATATAATTCCGAACACCCAGTTTAAATGGTTTTATTTTAATAAAAGTTGGTGAATGTATTTATCTTACTGTAAATAACAAGTGAAAAAATGTTCAGCCTTATCAGTTGGACATTCCGGTTTTTATACTGCTTTTTTTTAATTCACTAACGCTCTAAAAATGAATATTTCAGCCGCAGTAAAGAATCAACGTTGGCGGATTTTGGTTCTTGACATCCTTTACGATCGGTTACGATGCCTAGAGTACGGAGACCTGTACGATTTCGTCAACTTAGTGAGTTTGATAGGGGCCGTATAGTGGGACTTCGAGAAGCTGGACTTTCTTTTCGGGCAATTGCAGTTAGAGTGCAAAGAAGTGTAGACACTGTGGTTAGGTGTTGTCAGGCATGGCTTCGAGAAGGCCGTACGCAAAGAGCAAGGGGCACTGGACGCCGCCGTAGAACAACAGACCGTGAAGATCGCCGCCTAAGATTATTGGCCTTAAGGGACCGTTTCTCCACTACCAGGTCCATGGCAAATGAATGGTTTGCAGAACACGGAAGACCTATTGGCATGCGAAGTGTTTACCGACGAATGAGAAGTTTTGGCTTGTTTTCATACCGGCCACACTGGGTCCTCCCTTTAACTCGAGAACACCGACGTAATCGCCTTGAGTGGTGCAGACAACGGTCACTCTGGGATCAGGAATGGAACAGTATTGTCTTTAGTGACGAGTCTCGATTTTGTTTAGGCATGCACGATGGTTGTGCCAGGGTTAGAAGGCGACGTGGTGAAAGGAGGAATCCACAGTTTTTTGTTGAAAGACATGTTCATCACACTGTTGGAGTTATGGTTTGGGGTGCTATAGCTTATGGTTCAAGGTCACCTTTAATCTTCATCAGAGGTAACATGAACGCGCAGCGTTATATCCATGAAGTTCTAGAACCCCATCTTTTACCCTATCTTGACATCCTGGCAGATCCAACTTTCCAACAAGATAATGCCCGACCATATGTTGCAAGAGTCACAATAGACAGACTTCTTTCAACATAATGATGTCACATTGTTACCATGGCCACCAAGATCTCCCGACTTATCCCCAAT